AGAGAGAGAGAGAGAGAGAGAGAGAGAGAGAGAGAGAGAGAGAGAGAGAGAGAGAGAGAGAGAGAACGACTTGAGATCTGTGAAATGTTGCTTGGAGGTAAGTTGCCGGAGAGGAGATTGAGGTGGAGGAGAGGTTATCTGGCGCTGCCATACAATGTGTCTTCTTCTTCTTCGTCTTCGTATTCTTCTTCTTGGTCTTCATATTCTTCTTCTTCTTTCACTTCTCACCTCACTCGGTGTTAAGCCTGCACACGGGCCCGACAGTTGCTAAGGGCCCCTGGCCACGCACCCATACCAGGCACATGACCTGGAGGGCCCACGGCCATGCTTCAGGCCAAGGCACCATTTTGGTGCCACCCACACTCTCGTTTTTCAGCATTCATTTATTTATTTGATTGCTGATTTTTTGTCTGGTTCTATTTTTGCCTGTTGCAGGGCGTCGTTTCAGACTTCAGCGTGTCCGAACAGACTTATGGTCTATTCAGACCAAGGCCACGTTTTGGGCCTCCTCCATTCATGGCCAGGACTTCTTAGGCTAGGTCCGGTTTTGTCCGGCAGCGAACATTCCCTGCTGCATCAGCAGGGAGGGCCTGGACGTCCGGTAGGGACCCAGGCAGGCAGTTTTACGCCAGGCCCAGGAGCAGGACTTTTTCCTGGGATCTGGACCGTGGATCGGACCGACGATCTCGCGGCCCATATCACACGTCGTGGGCACACCAAGGCCCAGCACTACTTATAGCTGCACCACCTCCTGGGCACGGACAGACAGTTCGAGTAGCTCACTTCTTGGGCGACACGGTGCTGGAGCTGCGCTATACAGTGCCGTGCTAGAGGTAGAGGTGTAGGTAGGGAGAAGGGCGGAGGCCATACCTGCAGCGATGGAGCACGCACCTGCAGCGATGAAGCACGTACCTGGGCGCCATAACTGAGCTTCGCACCAGCAACCTGCAGCACAGCGACACGGCCGGCGCGTTAGTACCTGACGACAGTTACCTGCAGGTGACATAGCAAGGAGGACGGCATCTTCTTCTCCTTCCTGTTCTTGCCCTCCTTCTTCTTCTTCCTTCCTTCTTCTTCTTTCAGAGAGAGAGAGAGAGAGAGAGAGAGAGAGAGAGAGAGAGAGAGAGAGAGAGAGAGAGAGAGAGAGAGAGAGAGAGAG